TAACTTTCTGCAATAACGGCTCGAACTCCGAGAAGATACGGTCCTTTTGCCGCCCAATCTCTCGATGATCCGCAGCCGTAGTCTTTGCCGCTAAGAATAATAAGTGGAGTTCCCTCTCGTCTGTACACTTCGGATGCATCGAAGATACTTAACTGCAATTCATAATCACATTATTGTAGCCTAACTTTTCATATAATCAACTCCACATTCATATGTATTTAATTATTCAGATTTACTACATTCATAATTCATGGATATTGTTTAAAACTTGATAACTATTATTGTTTCCATATGCCTATAATAGTTGGCATAAATCTCGCAGCTTTTGTAAATCCAAGCAATGATTTTGATTCTCCAATGATTCAGATGGTAACGAGTCTCACACATAAGAACTATTTTAGCGTAAATTTTATATGTACTGTATATTTGCTAATTTAGTTAGCATTTGCAGCATTTTAGTAAATTTTATTTTAATTCTTAGATTACAAAAACCACTCTTAAGTTACACAAAGTTATTAAAAATTAATAACTAAATTTTATAAAAGAAATTCCTTATTAAAAAATTCCTTATTATTAGATGATAATGCATTAATATGTATTTATTTGTGATGTTACCAGCGTTGCCAGAAAAAATTATATAGAAAGATTTTATATTTTTTATCTGTGTTTTTAAAAATATTAGTGAAATTCGTGAGATTATTAAGCTTGTAATGATTCCGGTGGATTTACATAACAAATAACTTACTTATTTTATTTAAAAGCCAATTATAAATATTGATAGAACAAAATTGAAATGTAAAAATTAGTATTAATCATAATAACGCATTACATAAATGAATTAATTACATTTGTATATAAGATTATATTAGATGTCAGATGATTTCTAATAATATAGTTCTATTTTTCAATATTTATTCCCCAAATCTATCGAAAAACCTTTAGACCAAACATGTATTATATATATAGTTTTTTTTAAAGATCTCTACATAGAGAAGCCTAATGCAATTATTTAGAGTTTTTAGAACAGTGGGGTATTCAATTTGGAATTTCATAGTTTTTCTTTAAAAAAACTACCGATTCCTGGACTCAGGATTGGATAATCCAGGACGTTTCTGGACGTCTGGCAACCCTAGATACTACTACATGTACTACTGTATTCATGTAATGATTCATTGAATAAACGACCGTAAAATGAATATAAGAAAGTTGTGGGAAACACACATAAGCTTTAGTAGAAATAAAATACAGTATTTTTTTATAAATTCTACTGTATATTACAATCAATGAAATAATAATTTTAATAATATTTAAATTCTTAGTAAATATACTGTATATATTGATATAAATTCTGCAATAAAAATAAAAACAACTCACACACGATCCTATAAACCACATTATTCATACTGAATTGTGGTTAACAATGTATACATTGGTTGTGATTAATATATTCGTATCAATATAATAGCAAATCGGCGCTTAAATTAGCAAAAAAATTGAAAACAAAATGTCTAAAAATATGTATTTAACCGTAGATTTTACATTTTTTGTCTTATTATTCTGTATATAAATCACAGACACATCATATTTTTGGGTATAAAGTATGAGTGAAAAAATGCCCATTTCCTGCACTTTACAGACGTCTTGATTGAAAGTACATTTTTATAAGGAATAGTGAATATAATGGTATACTTTTTAAACTTTAGTTCTGCTGCACTGAAAATTTTTATTAAGAAATAATATTAAAAGAGTAATTCCTGTTATAAATTACATTACATTCAAGAGGTTTTGATGAAAGAAATAGAATTCAGAAAGAATTTCCTAATTCTGATATAAATAAAAATTATTAACTTTACAAAATTCATTTCCATTTTTGAACGTTATTTATTATGAAAAGCGTCATTGATGAATTCAATTCATATTAATTTTTAAGATTTTAATCATGTATTGTTAATTTGGCATGATAATAATTCACAAAACTTTGTAAAAATATTTAAAAATTAAAACCTTTATTCAAATAAGAAATTATAAATCTCAAAATCCTTTTAAAAAACTCAATACAATGATAAAATGTTATGACAAAATCTATTATGTAATCAAAACTTATTAATTGAATACTGAGAGTTAACTGTAATTTAAAATAAAGCGTGTATTGCAGGCAATTCCTATGTACTTACAATTGCCGGTCTCTGTAATATCACTTTTTATCATCATTTATAAGAAATTTCGATCACATCTTATATTGTTCTCTAAACCTATAGTTAAGCTTTCATTCTATTTATTCATCATTTTTGTAAAATTAAATGTATTTAAATTTAAATACATTTAATTAATTTACTGTAAATAAACACAAATCCTTATACACAAAATTAATTAAATCTAATGATTTCGGAATTTATTAGTTATGATTTATATTCATAGTTAGAATATTTATTCACTTTATATAATATAAAAGTGTGTCTAATTTTTATAGATATCTTGTTTGTAAGAAAAAATGTTTTATTTGCGGTAAATATACTTTTGTATATTAATTGTAATAAAAGAAAAATAGAAAAACACCGAATATGAAAAAGATATGCATTGATAGTTAGATGTAATATTATATGCACTGTAATATCAAAATAATATGTATTTGACAAGAATATAGAAATTAATACATTCACAAAAGTGTAGTTTATTTGAAAAACGCCCACATTTTCTAACATAACCCCAAAAAATATTTATAAATTAATCGTAAAAAATAAAATAAACACTTTTTCTGACATTATTTCTTATGAATAATTTTGTTAAGAATTTCTTAACGGAACAGAAATAGTGTTATTCACTCGTCTGTAGACATGAATTCTAGATTCTGTTGTTGTGTTATATAATCAATACTAAAAGTATAAAAATGTAAGCTTTCATCGTATGAATTGAATGAATGTATTGTAAAAGACATCCATTTTTGCACAAAATATGTCCCTTTTTGTAATCAATATATAGATATAACAACATTTAGGATTAAAATATTGTTATTTAAAATAAGCTTTCATCGTATGAATTGAATGAATGTATTGTAAAAGACATCCATTTTTGCACAAAATATGTCCCTTTTTGTAATCAATATATAGATATAACAACATTTAGGATTAAAATATTGTTATTTAAAATTTAATTAAAAAAATAATCAGTAATGTTCTGTTATAAAAATATTGCCAAATTAATGTCAAATTACTTACAATCCTATGCTAACTGTTATTAATATATAATCCTTAGATTAGAGATGGTATTATCTGTCAATATTTATGCTTAATATAATATAAAGCTTATATATAAGACACAACTATTCCTATTCCTTATTCTTAATACTTTTGGTCCACACATTTGCATAAAATATTGATTGTTAAAAACATAAGTAAAATTATTAAACAATTTCATGAACTGAGAAACATTAGTTGCATTTACTTCGAGTATATTTTAATTATTTAAAAATATAAGTCCTAATATACTGTATATAGCAATTGAATGGATAGAGTTTTACATAATTTGAAGCTAAACTTAACTTAAAATTATGTAAATACGGGGGCTAACTTACATCTCGGTCACGATGTATAAATACGGTAATCACATGATAAATATTCGTGTAGTTGTGTTCTCAGTTTAGCAATGTGAATATTACTCAAGTAATGAAATAATATCTGAAAAGTGGGTTAAGAGGATCACATAAACAAATATATTAGTCTAACATTTTCATAATCCAATTGCAATTGCACTCAATTTTGAAATATATTTGTTGTGAATATAAAAGCATTTTTTGTGATATATTTTTTGATTGAGATTTTCTTTATAAACTCATTGAGAAATGAATGAGAGTATTGTTTCCGGCACTTCATTTCCCACAAACTATACCCGCTTTCAATTAATACGAGATTAAGTTATTTATGATTCTCGCAATGATTTGATTATTTCGGATATGATGTCTGAGCTTGAGATCGCATTTGTGCCACAATTTGTTAAATCATATGTTCAATATTTACTATTTTGTTTGGAGAAAGGGTGAGCCTTATACATATCATAACCCTGGGCTAAATCTGTCCTTAAATAATTGGTTTGCTTACAAACGTTTGCAAGGAGAGCAGTATTTAGCATCATTGCCTCTAAAACAGCAATATTTTGTTAATTATTAGTTCAGAATTTTTTTTAAATAAATTCATTCATTTTTAAAATAATTACAATTGTTTTAAATATATATGATAAATACCTGCGGGAACCGTATGAGTTGAATGCCGAGGGAGCGATTCTGATAAACAATTAAAAATTGTATTTAATAAAACTAAAATTAACTATTGATCACAAATTGTTATAAAAATATATAACATAATAAAATACAAACCCTTTTTCAATAAGGTATTTAGCGGCGGGACTGTTACGGGCTATAGAGCCGGCCGGAGAGATGTGATCAGTAGTGACCGAATCTCCTAAATTCAATAGCACTCTGGCGTTAACTATAGACTTTATTTTAGGCAATGTTGGCGTCATTTGATCGAAATAAGGGGGAGATTTGATATATGTTGAGTTGGCATCAAATTTGTACAATAAATCATTGGATGCATTCAATTGATTCCATCTCTCATTTCCGAACCGAATCTTAGAGTAAACTTCTTTAAACATTACAGGAATCACACATTTTTGCTCCATTTCTTGGATTAAAGACTTTGAAGAATATAGTTTGGTATACAGACAGACAGCTGACTGAGATCTCATTGGGCGGTCTTATAGTGCTTGTGATAATCAGAACAATTCAATTCAATATGTCCAGAGCCCGGGTATTATTGCACACTAATATGAGTTTACTTTTTACTAATGATTGTCTAAACGACTGTTAGGATCGGTTCCTTCACACCAATCTATGCGCTACTTTAGCCAATATGTCAAATCATTTTAAACGACTCAATCCATACGTGTGTCAAAGGCTTGTCTCGCTTTTTGAGAAGTTGTCGAAGAAGTTCACCAAAATTCTCAAAGACATACAACTGAATGAAAGCAAGACCAATGGTGTGGAGCAGTCGGATGTCAGTTCGGACTGCGAGACCAGTTCACTGGCGCCCGAATTAACGCAAGACATGTCTATTTTTGAAGAAGTATTGCGAATGATTCTGGAGATAATAAACGCTTGTTTAGCCGCACAGTTGACCAATAATCCCAATTTGGTCTATACTTTACTATACAAACGACAAGTGTTGGAACCGTTTCACTCGCATCCATGCTTTCAGGACATTGTTATGAACATTGAGACAGTTCTCACTTACTTCTCAAATCGCATTGAAGGCATTGATCGAAATCTTTCGGTTTCCGAAGTCTATGAAATCATCCAACAGTCGTCTCTTCAGTGGCCTTCAGATAGGCTTAAGGTTTGTTTTGAAACACTTATTTGTGTTGAATATTGTTATCATAAGATGTGTTGTAATTCTAATTGAATTGTGAACAGAAATTCCCAGAATTGCGGTTTCGTTACGTGGAAGACGAACAGCCGGAGGAGTTCTTCATTCCCTACATTTGGTCTCTTGTGTTCCGTTCGTCACATATTTATTGGAACTCACAAAACATTTTACTCTTTAATCCCAACAGAAATAATTAATTTAAATTATATTCTAATATAGATTTTAATATATATTTGAATGAATGGAAAGGGTTTGTCATGCAATTTGATGTTTGAATTTTATATAAATTATTTATTTTTATCTATTATTAAGATTGATATTAAAAAATAACTATTGATTACATGTTTGGAGAATTTATATGAATTTTTTAAATATAATTTAAAATTGTTGAAAACAATAAACAGAAAAATGCAATTAATTATTGACTTTTATTAAACATTTATATTTATTATTAACGTACTGTATATCAACATTTTATACCAGTATTAAAATATTTAAATTAAATTTAAATAAAAAATTAATTTGTGTACTGAATCATACTCGTCATTTAAATTTATATTGATAGTAATAGAATATTTGCAATATCTTTTATATTGTTTATATTGGATTTTGTGAAATTGACCATGCTTATAGGATTACGGCTACGAATTCTTAAAAGTGAATTAAGTTTCTTTTAATTGTAAGACTCGATCAACAAAATTATTAGATGATTGGTATGAATATATTGAATGCAATTAAATAGTTTGTTATAAATGTTTACGAATGCATTCTAAGGTAATACAGATAATTGGGAAGTAGTGTTGTGTTGATCTGATGTTACGATTAGCTGATGTACAGATGTATCGCAAGATGTGTGGGAATACAGTACTAAATAATAGCAATAGTGAAGTATTTGTGTATGAAAATAGAGTACATCTATGGGTACGTCTAGAAAAACACATTCAAATGAGTTGTACTCTTATGAAAGTGATTGCAAATGAGAGATAGCTTTGCAAAAATTACTGTATTATTCACATTAACTTTTCTGATATTAAATTCAAACTGACGTAAAAGTTTGAGAAAACACTTAAACAATTAGGCAATACTTTAAAGACAATTGTGGTTAATATTTCATAATTAGTTTTCAATGACATTATAGTTATAAATATATAGCAAAACTAGAAATCAATGATCAATCGTCTATTTCCTCAAAACATTTGTTTCCTTTGAATTGCATTTCATTTAAAAATCATTTTATTTTTTAAAGAAATTGTTTGAATTATGGCTTCAAATGGTATGTGTTTTATATAATTAATCTGTTTAGATTTTATAATTTTTAAAATTTATAATAATTTAATTATTATTATGTTAAATATTTGAGATTTAATAACATGTTGCCTATCAATAAACATGTATAAACATTAAATGACTATAACTATGTAAATTAAGTTCCATTTGTAATTCATAAGAATTTAATATTAATTCAATTAATTAGTAAATCCGTACAACAATTTGCTGAAGAATATCACTTTGGATGGCATTCAATACCAATATTACGATATATCAGCTTTGAATCAATCAAAATATGGTTAGATTTGGTTTTATCTAAATTTACAACTCATTAAATCTCTTGGATTATGATTACAGACAGACTTCCATTCAGTATTCGAGTACTTCTTGAGTCTGCGATCAGAAGTTGTGATGGATTTCAGGTCAAAGAAAAAGATGTCGAAAAAATCATTGATTGGGAAATACAACAGAAATCAAACGCCGAAATCCCTTTCAAACCATCGAGAGTTATATTACAAGACTTGACAGGCGTTCCAGCGGTTGTCGACTTCGCCGGTATTGCTTGAAATGATGCCATATATTGAGTGATATATGAATTAAGCTATTGTTGTGTTGATAGCGATGAGAGAGGCGTTTCAAACTCTTGGCGGAGACCCAAACAAAATCAATCCCTTATGTCCGGCAGATCTGGTGATTGACCATTCAGTTCAGGTGGACTTCTCGAGAACGTACGTCCCGTTTATGTATTTATGTGTTTGAGTGCATCCAATGTCCGCAAAAGTTGTCCACAAAATCTCGATGACTTAATTGTTGTCATAATTGTTGCCAATTTTCCAATTAGTGTATTTCGGTTTACATCAAAAGGGAGTGCGAGTGAAGGCATAAGTAGTGTATGCGATGACTGTACCGGAACCGGTCAGTGCGCTCTCGCCAATGCTCTGTCCAATAGATCCGTACCCTTGAGATCAGGACATTCATTGACAAATGGATTACCCTTTAACTCAATTCTATCGGAAAACTGGCAACCATTGAGACCACACACTCCCGACACACAGAGAATCACTCCAAACGTATTAATCACTCAAAACATTGAAAATTTAAATAATGGGATCAATCCTTACGCAGACTTTAAGTTGAAACATAAAACTTGTCCCTTTCATCGGCTTAAGTCTCTTGGGTTTGGATTCCTTAATACCTTTTTAATGCTTACAATAAAACAATTTTTCATTGTTTTAATTATGTCTCCAATTAGTGCGGAATCGCTTCATCGCAACGAAGAACTCGAGTTTCAGCGAAACAAAGAGAGATTTGAGTTCTTGAAATGGGGATCGACTTCACTCAAGAATACGACAATCATTCCGCCGGGTTCTGGGATCTGCCATCAGGTGAACCTCGAATACTTGGCACGCGTTGTCTTCAAAGGTGACAACAATATCTTATACCCGGATAGCGTTGTGGGACTGGACTCTCACACGACAATGATTAACGGTTTGGGAGTTGTCGGGTGGGGAGTCGGCGGCATTGAAGCCGAGGCTGTAATGTTAGGCCAAGCGATTTGTATGGTTTTGCCAGAAGTGGTTGGATATAAATTGGTGGGAAAGCTTCCCTCATATGCCACGTCTACTGATGTGGTGCTAACCATAACCAAGAATTTGCGTCAAATGGGAGTCGTCGGCAAATTTGTTGAATTTTATGGACCGGGAGTTTCGGAGCTCTCGATAGCAGATCGCGCGACCATTGCTAACATGTGTCCAGAATATGGCGCAACCATTGGCTACTTTCCTACCGATAAGACAACTATTGACTATTTGTTTCAAACCGGTCGAGAAGACAATGTAATCAAATATGCGGAAACATATCTAAAAGCAGTGAAAATGTTTAGAAATGATTACAACAATAGCAGCGAAGATCCAGTTTTCACTCGAGTTATTGAATTGGATTTGAATACAATTACTCCGAGTGTAAGCGGACCTAAAAGACCGCACGACAGGGTTTCCGTCTCACAAATGAAACAGGATTTTCAGAGCTGTTTAACTAATAAAATCGGTTTTAAAGGCTTTGGTATAGCGGATGATAAAACCAATACAACTATTCCTTTCATTTTTGACGGAAAGGTAATTAATATCGTATAATTAAATTTATACTATGATTACAAAATTAATTATGTTTTATTGATAGGAATATTGTCTCTCTCATGGATCAGTTGTAATCGCAGCCATCACTTCGTGTACAAACACAAGCAATCCTTCTGTGATGTTGGGTATGATGTGTTTATTTTACTGTCTTTTAATGCCGTGTATAATATGAAACATTTATTGCTAACATTCAGGTGCGGGTATGTTATGCAAGAATGCTGTGGAAAAGGGTCTTACAGTAGCGCCTTATATAAAGACCTCGATGTCTCCGGGCAGTGGTGTCGTAACCTTTTACTTGCGTGAGTCCGGAGTGACNATATTAGTCTAACATTTTCATAATCCAATTGCAATTGCACTCAATTTTGAAATATATTTGTTGTGAATATAAAAGCATTTTTTGTGATATATTTTTTGATTGAGATTTTCTTTATAAACTCATTGAGAAATGAATGAGAGTATTGTTTCCGGCACTTCATTTCCCACAAACTATACCCGCTTTCAATTAATACGAGATTAAGTTATTTATGATTCTCGCAATGATTTGATTATTTCGGATATGATGTCTGAGCTTGAGATAGCATTTGTGCCACAATTTGTTATTAGTATACAAGTTATAAATGATAAAACAAACCTCTTTCCCACTCGGAATATGTATAGTATTGGGACCCGATTTAGACAGGAATTTATTAACCAAACGAATGTTTGCAAACGTTCCTCTCGTCATAACAGCATCATTGCCTCTAAAACAGCAATATTTTGTTAATTATTAGTTCAGAATTTTTAATAAATTCATTAATTGTTTTAAATAAATATGATAAATACCTGCGGGAACCGTATGAGTTGAATGCCGAGGGAGCGATTCTGATAAACAATTCAAAATTGTATTTAATAAATTAACAAATTGTTATAAAAATATATAACATAATAAAATACAAACCCTTTTTCAATAAGATATTTAGCGGCGGGACTGTTACGGGCTATAGAGCCGGCCGGAGAGATGTGATCAGTAGTGACCGAATCCCCTAAATTCAATAGCACTCTGGCGTTAACTATAGACTTTATTTTAGGCAATGTTGGCGTCATTTGATCGAAATAAGGGGGAGATTTGATATATGTTGAGTTGGTTAGTTTAAACATGTTATTTAGTAACCTACGTAAGTTAACTAAGGTAGAGAGTAAAGGCTTGGCTTAGAATCTCATTTGAAGAAATTTGTAATGTCCTTAGTGTGTAAAAACGAGGTAAAGAACCTAATCGTCCCTTTTGGGCCAAATATCTCTTAAAAAGACATCATTGCCTGAACTGTCTTTGCCTAACGGTTCCGTCTCGAAGTCAATACTAACAGTACCGGCGATGGCATACGCGACCACCAATAGAGGAGAGGCCAAATAGTTGGCGCGAGTGTTGGGATGGACTCGACCTTCAAAGTTGCGATTCCCCGACAGAACTCCGGCCGAAACGAGATCTCCTTTCTCTATGGCTTCAACCACTGGTTCAGGCAGTGGTCCACTGTTTCCGATACATGTCATACATCCGTAGCCAACGATATCAAAGCCTAATTTTTCAAGATATGGGGTCACTCCGGACTCACGCAAGTAAAAGGTTACGACACCACTGCCCGGAGACATCGAGGTCTTTATATAAGGCGCTACTGTAAGACCCTTTTCCACAGCATTCTTGCATAACATACCCGCACCTGAATGTTAGCAATAAATGTTTCATATTATACACGGCATTAAAAGACAGTAAAATAA